GACAGCATACGGTAAAAGAAATTTTCATTTCATATTTTCGTAATTTTCTGTTTAAGATGACCATTTTAGTTTGATTATATTATTTATTTCGTCGGACTAAAGTAGGAAAAAGAGAGAAAACGACAATGAAAATGCGGTCAAAAAGAGGGATCGCCTCTGAAAGCGATAAAATCTTAATTTCTCTTTTTATTAAAGAAAACATTTTGTCCTTTTGCTTTGTTTTATTTTAAAGGTTAAAAACAAAGAGATAAGGATACGTTCTGTAAGTCAAAGAGGCAAGCCTCCGCAATGACCGTCCAACGCCGGTTCTATCACGGCTGTCGGGGTTTGTTAGTTTTGATCAGTCCAACGGTAAGTGCCGTTTCAAGAAAACCCAACTACACGGTAAATCTTCGTAAAAGCACCAGTTCAGACATCGCCACGTCATTACTTAGGCCCAACCAGTTATGTTTCCACTTTGACGTGGCGACATCTCAACCGTCCTTTTGTTATTATTATATTATTATTATAAAATGGTATTTTTGTGGAAGATGGAGATGCTGCTGGGGTGGCTTCAAAGTTTCTTACTTTGTTGTTGGTGAAGAGTCGGACACTATCCCCCAAAACAATATCAATCACTTTGCTTTTGATTCCCTCTTTATTGGTTTTAGGTTCTTTAGAAATTTGGGACATTCTCCCACCACATATCTGAGAATCTACTCCAAAAAAATTTTAAGTCATCACAATTCACACTGCTGTTAATTGTTATTCAACCTTCAGTGCCCTAGAGCCCACCAAAGAATTCAAATTTGAAATGCTACAAATTTGCTTTACAAAATAACAAAATTTGGGGAAGAGGTGCCTAATTAAATTAGTAATTTGTTCAGTTCATGCAAATAAATTAGTTTACATTGAAAAAATGTATGTTTCTTAATTGCATCGATTTATATAATGAATAAATTTTGACCAGAAATTGATAGCTCTGTCAGAAGGGCTGTCAGATTTATTTATATATATATATATTCATAAATTCATAGTAGTATTACCTTAAACTACAATGAATCAACTAAAATTCTTGAGGTGGATATGTAGGAGGATGGGGTTGCTGACAAATATAGAATTTTACAAACTCGATTATGAAGAACAAGGAAAGAAATATGTGAGAAGAGAGCGCTAGAGACATGTGCTATGAGATAATTGTATTTCATATCTCCTAGCCGGGGTCTCTTTCTTGCATCTAATTTGGAAAGACCAACAAAGCTTTGTAGCTTAATGAATTCCTAAAGAGGATGCTAATCATTCACTACAAGATAAGATATATGAAAGAGCATGAAAATGTCAAAGACAAAAAGAATTAAACATCTTTTTATTCGTTCTTTCATTTATTTGAATTCAGGGGAATCAAATCACAAAAGCCAGCAACAATGAAATTTGACATGCTATACTACTTACTTAGGGTACTAATTTAATCATTTATAAATTAGAATCTTAAACCTTGATCCCACATAATAACCAACTAAAATTAAAAGTGACTGAACCTAAGTAAAGCAGAAACCAGTCATTGTCATTTGATTTTGATCTTTAAAAGCAAAAAAGTACATTTTTGTTTGAGGTTTTCGAAAAACTTAATTACTGGGGACAAAGCTTTACTCCAATGGTAAATAAGATTAAGGCTTCGACAAAAAGGTTGAATAATTTTACAGGATTTAGGAAAAGATCCTCTTAATTTATTTTCCCATTACAGTAAAAGTTTCTCTTAATTATTAGCAAAAAGAAAAAGCAACATGCAATTTAGAAACCTTTCTTGAACAAACCTCAACAGGAGCGTTTATCAAGTAAATAATTAATGGGAATGTCTACAAAGCTGTGGGAGACATGAACTCTTTCTTTCTTTCATTATATTAAAAAGGCAATCCAAAGGATCTTGTATATATTTAATTCCGAGGAATGAAAGCAAAGCACAAAAAGATATATATACGATCCTTCGAGATAATGGTGACTCTGTAACAAGGATGTAAACAGGACCCCAGGCAAGGGCACCCTGCACCCACGATCCAACACGCATGCAACAGGACAAGAGACATTTTATCTACGGTAGTTTAACTTTTGCTTGGAAACATAAAAGAGAAGAGAAAAAGTGCGGCTTCCTTACTCCACATAATTGGAACCCTAACGAGTTCAGTTCAAAGTGTTTTGGACCCACCTTCACACGCAAGAGACAAATGGCCCTTGCAGATCTTAGGTGATGCATGTCTCCTATTGAGAATGATTGATAGTTAATGCTTTACACGAGCGAAGGGGCCCTTAACCCTTTCTCCAAGCTCCAAGCAGAACGGTTTGGACGATATTTTGGTATGTTAAAAATTTTATCCTAAGTTTGATTCATCGAGCTTAAATAATCTCAAAAATATTTTAAAAAATAAATTATTAATATTTTAAAATATTAATATTTTGTTTTAGAGTCAGTGACTATTTGGCAGTTGGCAGTCAACAATAGTCGGCGTTGTAAAATTAGCGTAGATATATATATATATATATATATATATGCTTACTGAAAGTAGGCAAAATGAACTCGATTATACGATAAGCATGTGATGATGCCCCACAGATCTGAGCCGTCAAGCCTCCGTAACCCATGTTGATCACAGGCGTCAGTATTCTTAAAACGCTCCCCTTTATCTAATCGCAATCAGCGTAGATTTTGTGACCCTATAAATCCAGGAACTTGCGACACGTGTTAACTCTTAGGGAGCAATAAATCTCGCCATGTGAGTGCATGTGCCTTCTGACAAATTTCCCCGTTGGGGCCCACCCACGTGCTGCCTCAGTTTTCCGATCCCTCGCAAAAGGCGGCGCTTCTGCACGTGCTCCACCAACGTGGACAAGCTCTCTGTCAACACGCGGCAGAATGAGATGCTACGTCTCACATGTTGGTAACCACCGGTTTGTTTGCGGTAAGCTTGAATCATTAAAAAAATTTCATATTTTTAATTTTATCAATTGAAAATGTGAAGAGTTTGCGAGAGATTACTATTTTCGAAAATTAATTTGAAATTATGCTAAGATACTTCATAACAAATTCACTTATTGAGACTTCTACTGGAAAGTTTTTGGGCGAAAAACAAATTATACATGATATTTATTGATTTGAAAAAAAAACATATGATAAAATTTTATGAAAAGGTATTTTGGTGAGCATTAATAAATAAAAGAATTATTTTAAAATATATTAATATAATTAAAGATATGTATGATAGAATTATAATGAATATGAAAACATTTGGTAATTTGATTGATAGCTTTCTCATTATTTAAAGATTACATTAAGGTTCGGCATTCATTTTTTTTTTTTTTTTGCATTAGTTATAGATAAACTTACTAGAAATATTTAATAAAAGATATAATGATACAATTATTTATCGATAATATGGTTTTAGTTGTTAAAACTGGTGATGATTATCATAATGTGTAAATCCATGAATTTATCATTACATAAATTTAAAGAATTATCATTAATTTTTTTTATTTAAGTATAATTATCCACGTAATAGAATTTATCCCATATTAAATAAAAGTTTTAAGCTTAGTTTAAGTATCTTTAAATAATAAATTTTAATATATAAAATTAGATTTAAGATTGAGAGTGTGATTATTCATAAAAACAGTTATAACATCCTCATAGTATCTATTTAAATGATAGTACAAATTTGATTTCAAGTTACCTAAATCTTAAAATATTTTTATAATTTATCAAATAATTTAATTATTGAGAATTGATCTTAAAATTATTTAAATAGCTTAATAGTAATTTAAGATAATTTTTTCACTTCAGAATTATTCATTGAGACTAATATTCTATTTTGAAGAGATTCTGTTGACAATTTATTAATATATTTTATTTATAAAATAATCAATAACATATTTCAATAATTTAATAAGATTTTATTTTTATGCATATCCCATAATAGTTTAATGAAAATTTATTTAAAAACCAATTTATAGAATTTACTTTAAGAAAACTTACTAAATTTCTTAATAGTTTAATAATATTTAATTCAAAATTTAAATTTTCAAATAATTTAGTAAAATTAAAAATTTTATTATCATTAGTATTTTTTTATAAAAAAAATTTATTAAATCTTTTAATAATTTGTAGGATTGAAATTTTTTATTTTATAAAAAAAAATATTATGAAATTATTCAATAATTTGATAGAATTTATAATAAATAAAAAAAATTGTAAACCCACGAAAATTTATTAATAGTTGATAAGACTATTATTTCTTAAAAAGATTAAGAAAGTAGATAAAAAATTATTTTTTTATAAAAAAAGTGATATAAGAAAATTTAAAGCTACAATCATATATGATTCTTTTTTTTTAACCTTCCATACTGCAGATTCTAGAATTATGATATATATATATTTTATTGTTATTATATTAATTGAATATGTGAAATAGATTATTAAAATTCTGAGAGTAAATTTGGGGAAGAATGAATCCAGAGCAATGAGAAATCACAGGCCTGCTACTGTTTGGGCCGACGAAGTGTTGATTTGTTATTTTAGGACAAAAAGTAGGAGTCCTTTGCACCCTGAACCGGATCCATTCAAATGTGATGCAACAAGCCAGCCCAAAACATTCCCACTCAGCTACATGCCCTCAGCCCTCAAGCAAAGATGCAGTCATGCACATGCACATGCAAATTGGCATATCATTGAACAGGGAAAGAAATGCACATCGTACGCACGCATGCCAGCAGTCTATAATATACAATATTGCCCTAATTTCTAATTATGGTGATGGCATACAATAGGTTCCGTAAGAATAAAGTCGTTTGTCTTACGTGTGTTAAATGCAAAAATATTTCAACTATAATTTTTTATTTATTATAATCATATAATTAATCAATTATAACAAAAAATTATATAAAAATCCATCACTTAAAAATTTAAATTCTATATATTTTTTATGAACTTTACATAATACAAAATTATCATTTGTTAATTACACTTTAATAATTATAAATAATGAGGTCTTATACTCAATAAAAGATTAAGCAGCGCAGAAATGGCAGGCACCTGATTTTATGAGCAGGATTTTTTGGTTCAGGAATTCCATTGTGCGTCTCTCTCCGCTAGAAAACTCGAGAGGTAACATCTATAGTATTAAGGTGTAAGGAAGGAAGCAAATATCACATCCTGATTTCTGTGCAAAACCAGATTGGCATCATCATGAAATCATCCATCATGTTAATTTCCTTTAGGTTTCTATTTCCATTTCGGCGAAAACAAAAAGACTACTTTCTAAAATCAAGAAAAGAAATCGGCCAAAAAGAAAAGGTATGTTATTACATATAAATGTATTTTTTTCCCAGTTTTGGTTGCTTGTGTAAATCAAAGTGGCACTAGTCCTTCCATCCCTCCTTACTCAAGCGTCGCGAGGCAAGGCCTTTGGCGGAGAGGCTAGGAGTGACGGGCATTGAGGGTGTCATAGGTGCCTCCTCGTCATCCCAATTATCACCCCAGCTGTTATCCCATCCATCATTAACATCTGGCTCTATTTTTGCCCCACCAGATACAGGCAGCTCCATGTCTAGCCTCCTGTATTTCAACCTACTTCTTGTAAGTAGCCTCCGCCTAAAGCTCACGCATATCCAACCTGAGGCTAGTATCAGTACAGCGACGATGAATATAAAGGCGGTTGTAGGGGTTTGTGACAAGAAGTTTACATAGGACTTGGCAGAATTATGCACATTCAAATCCTTGAAATCAAGACTGCACTCTCCACTACCATCCTTTAAGACAATCAAGGTCTCTGTTCCAGAATTTTGTATGGAGACCTTTACCTGAGCAAATGCAATTTAAATGTCAATCAAAACCCACTTTTTACAGAAACAACCTTCTGTGAACAGATTATCAGCATTATTAGCAAAGCAATGCATGCCCACAATTGCATCATATGGACTGCCTAATCATTAAGACATATCTAATTGAAAATTACCAATCATGTCATTAGATGAAACATAGAAAGTTTATGCTCAATGCTTCTTAAATCATTGTTGAAAAATAAACCAAAGAACATTGTGTGACATTCCAAAGCATAGCAGCCTTGTTGTAATTATCCACAAAATTAGCAACTTATATTCCTTTAGCCCCATTAGCTAATTACTTTTATTGGCCCTCAAGAATCTTGGCTGTTCATTAAAAAGTTTTATTAGTTAACAAGGATTGTACAAACAATTCATGTTATGTATTAGTTACTGCATGCTGTCATTATAGGAAGTAGAGTGCCTGTTCATGCAAGGCACTCTTCTGAAGCCTGAAGACCTTTACAAGCATTTTAAAAGGCCAACTACAGAAAAAGAGGAACTGCAGCCAATGGGTACTTGCAGCATTCATCTCTAAAAGGAAAAGATAACGAAAAGGTATTCAAATAACAAAATGGGCTAAGATGATGGCTATAAAATTTTATTAATATTCTGTCCACCCCAATTTCTTATTGCACCTGCTTGCGCTAGATGGCACTAGAATTGATTGCATACGGCGTAATCAAGAATTAATTCGAACCCTTAAGTTAAACCAGGAAAAAAAAAGTCAGACCTTTAATGAACCATAATTTGTGATCCTAACATGATGGATGCGCATAACTTAAGTATTGTTTACAGATACCTTTCTGTCTTGCTTCTCCTGGAGTAAAATATCAGTTTCCTCTAACCGAACAAAAGCAGGAGCAGATATTTTAATAGTAAGAGGCCCCTTTCCCTTGTTCTGAATCAGAAGTGATAGATCTGGAGATTCTGAAATATTGCAAACCAAAGTTAAAAAGGATAAATTTTGCAATGCAGAATGATGGAGAGCAGAGGAGAGAAACAAATTTTGTCCAATGTGATCATCATCAATAGTGACTATTTATTATCTTTTCTATTGTTAGAAACTTGCAACCTTTTTATAAATATCTACAACGTATATAGAATGTTACAACCAAAGAAACAAGGAAAATACTTACAATAACATTACCAGAAAAAAGAGACAAAATGGTATATCCCAGTTAGAGGACACTTACCATTTCCTGGGACTCGCAAACACGCAGCAAACCTTTTGTTCTTATCCATACACATATTAGATGAATCACATTCTTCACGAAAGCCATCCTTCCTTGTTGGCGACGGTGGTGGCGGCGGCGGCGGTGGGACCGAGTCCTCTATGTTGTCTTTCTCTTTATTCACTTCCTTAGGATCCACACCATCATCCACATTTTCCTGTTTCTCACCATCTGTTTTTCCTTTGGTTTCGGTATTTGATTCTTCCTCTAGACCCTTCTGCACATTATCACCTTCTCTTCCATCATTTGTCTTTCTTTTGGCTTCAACATTTGGTTCTTCCTGATCCTTTTGCACATTATTACCTACTTTCTCTCCATCCGTCTTTCCTTTGGCTTCCTGACCCTTTTGCACATTATCACCTACTTTCTTTCCATCCGTCTTTCCTTTGGCTTCAACATTTGGTTCTTCCTGACTCTTTTGCACATTATCACCTACTCTCCCACTATCCGTGTTTCCTTTGGCTTCACCATTTGATTTTTCCTGACCCTCGTACACATTATTACCTTCTTTCTCACCATCCATCTTTGGCTTTGCTTCAGCACCTGATTTTTTCCCCTCATTTTGCAAATTCTGGCCTTTATTTGAACCTGATTGCTTGTTCAAATTGCTATTACTTGTATCACTCCCAATACCTCCTGATCCATTAATTTGATCTCCTCCATTATCTCTCACTTTTTTAACTCCAATCGAATCTGAAACAGATTCAGAATCACCCTTTTCTTTAACCAGATCCACTGTGCTGTCTACGTTCTGGTCTAAACCAGTCTTTTCATTCACATTTCCCTAAAAACAAAATCAATGAGAAAATATCTCGATCCCATGAATACAATTAAACAATTTAACTAACTTCCTCCACTAAAAACTCACCTTTGGATCAGAACTAGAGCAATCAACAGCAACTAGCAGCAGAATAAGCCCCATCAAAAGAACAAAATTTGTTTCCATATTTTAAGATAAACCCACTTTTTTGTGCTACAAAAGAAACCTATTTATCATAGAATTCAATTAAAAAATATATATCTAACTTTGAAAGAGTCTATATATAAACAAGAACAAAAGAGCGACGAGTTCAAGGTTTCTAACCTTAAAAAAGACACCTTCAATGGATGCCTGTTTTGAAGAGCTTTCTTGCTTATGTTCATCACTTCCGTACTTCACATACTTAATTTCTCATCAAATCTACAAGCTCATTTATTGACTGAATAAAGAGTTTGAATAAGGGTTCAACCGTGGGGAGAAACCGAGAAAGAGGGAGAGTTTGACCAGAGAACTATAACGGGGTCGTTTCGAAGCAATAAGTGGGACCCAGTTCGAATGAAATAGGCTGAATGATTTGACTTTGGTTATGACTTGCAATCGCCGTTTTCTCCAGTCTGTGAAGCAACGTTGATTCCTATAGTTCTTGTTTTGGGAAGTCTTGTTCTACCGTTCACTTCAAAGAAAAGCCTCCAAGTTGCTAGTTAATTTTTATTTATACTAACAATAAATATTACTTACTAGACGTTGAAATCAACACTACATATTATATATTAAAAAGGTTTTTTATGGAGGTGAACAGAAGAAGAGATATAGAATTTGGTTCAAAGTCAGTCATAATAAATCCATGTTATTAAATTATTACAATAACAAAAATCTAAGTTTTATTTCTAATAATTTTAGAATTACCTATATAAAAAAAATTATATTAAGTTGTAATTTTAAACTTTTTATGATATTCATTTTGATAAAAAAATAATATTTTTATTTATTTTTTTAATTATCATATTATTTTTTATTATTTACGTTAATGCCTTTCATGATTTTATTTATAAAAATTTTAGTTTGTTTCAAATACAAAAATTCAATTCTTTTAATTAGTGCATAAATAAACTTACAATTTTCATGTTTAAATCATTTTGAACAATCTTCTCTCATAGTATTAAATTACTAATTACCCAAAAAAAAAAAAAAAACCCTTACGTTGTTTAAAGAAAAATTTATTGATTAAGTAGGAAGTGGAATCAGTTAATCAACTTGGATCGTGCTACTTAGAATAAAGCAACTTTGCTTAATGAAAGGTCCAATTGTGGAATATGCTTAGCCTCATTAGATGGCATAGAATAAAATCATGTGCTGCTTTCTCCAAAATTGAAATTTTAATCAATTTTGACGGTTGTCTTAAACTCCTTGAATAGATATTCTAAGAAGCTCAACATTGGTAAATTGAAAAAAAAAAAAAATAATCCACTTGGAATTCATGTCACAGGAAATAGAAGAATCAAAGATCGAAAGTTTTTCTTATCGCGGATGTCAAAATTTAAATTTTTATCAGTAAAATCAGAAGGAAATTTCTTACTGTTATAGCCTAGGGAAGGAGAAAAACAAAAATGGGTCTGCCTTTTCAACATCGACCCAAATTTTGTCAGCACGTAAGCTGCTTGAGTAAAGTTATACCTGGAGTTAAGAGTATGGGTAGCAGTAAGGAAACCTCCTCAATTTTAAGTAAGCAAAAAATTTGACCTCCCGTTGGTCAATAGCCCAATTGAAGTCGGCCTGGAGCAGAGCAGCATTAATGGAGTCTAATGGGGATTTTCTGCCTGAGTACTTGACAAATGCAATTTACTAACGGGGGCCATCCTTGCTTTGCTTGAGCACGGGGACTTGGTCTTGCATAGTCAAGCCTGTTTAACCCAGTCAGTTCCCTATATAACTTTTCCATTAGGGCCCAATTCAAGCCCTGTAACTTTCCTCCAACCTAGTCCATGTGCAACCCCATCACCGAAACAAAGACTTGACAGACAAAAAAGTCTAGTAATGTACATAATCTTCTGAATGGGAACACCAGAATTCATAGCCTAATTATTTGAAAAAGGTGAGCCTATCTAAATCAATCTGCTCCACAGTTAAACATGAAGTACCCCACCCACCCAGGCTTGGCGGTGCACGTCGCCCACTTGGATATAAGTTCTACTTACCCTAATCTCAGGGTTCATGCTTAGATCATGCCAAGTAGCCAACTAAAGTCTAAACCTACTGTTTCAGCATGGGTAAGGTTTAGTCTTTAGAAGAGGGTAATCAAAATTTTCAAACCGACTAGATCCACTGTCAAATGTTCAAATATTCCAGGAAGACCACACCAGGACAGCTCATTGAAGGGAACAAGAGAGGACCATGATTAGACGAAGGTCGCAACTGTTTTACCCAGCATGTTTCAACCATCTCTAACGCTACGTTTGACTCTCTTTTGCCTGCCGAGCTTTAAAGGGTGGCAATAATAAATTGATTATAATATTTTTGTGGTTAATACTGGACATGAAGCAATCACCGAAAAGAGTTGCATAAAGAAAAAGGTTTGTTATTGGTTTTATAAGCGAGATTTAGTCAAAAATTGCAGCCCAAATTGTGTTGTGTGGATGCAAAACTACTTGGTAAAATGCCAAACACACAATGAAGTCAACCATTTAATTGGATGGTTCGAGTACTATTGTTTTCAGATTTTAGAAATCCACATTGTGTGAACAATGCCTATTGCTATAACTCAAATCAACTATAATAGCCATTTATTCCTTTAGTCGGCGTTGCAAGGTGGTATATTAAATTATATATAGATATATAAATATATATAAAATAGGTCAAAGTTTAAAAATTATTACGATTTTTTTTTTGACAAAGGAAAAAATTTAAAGAAAACTAAAGAGAATTTATAAGTACAAACTTTATAACAATTCGCATCCTAAAAAAAGTGTGATATTCATTTAAATTAAACTCTAAATTTCACAATAATTAGATTGCACAAAGAGGATAATTCTTTTTCATCTCAAACTTTACTTAGTAAGTTAGCTTGAACTTTTATTTTTTTTATGTGTATTAAGCTATACTTCGAAAACTAACTCTCTCAAATATCATTACAATTCTCGTTTTAAAATTTTAGAATATGAAATCTGAAATTTAACTGTTGAGATTCTTTTCGTAAGAACTTAATTAATTTGTTTTTTAAGCGTAAGTACAATATTATTACCTGAATTCGCAAAGACGAGAAATGATCAAGTCATTCATGGGGGACGATGATTCTCATAGATATATCTCATTAATAGATTTTCATGGGCTCAATGTATCAACCACAGGCAGTGGCACAGTGGTAGACCCAAATTGTATGCCTTATAACAAGGAAGATTACGATAAAGGGGGACCAAGTACATATAACAAAGATCAAAATACTTTATATGCTCAAGTGATATGTTGGCCTAAGAGGGTGAGGGTAACACCAAAAATCATTAATGAGTAAGTTAATTTGTTATAATTTAACATCAATGGTATAATTTATTAATAAAATATTAAAATTTTAATTTTATTAATCAAAATTCAATCTCATGCAATTTTAATTCTAAAAAAATAATGCGTTATAATTCAATATTGACATGGATCTATTTTTTTGTTATAATGTATATTTTTTAATCTAATTCCCAAATATGAATTAAGTGTTGAGGAAATAAATCACACTTGTAACCCATGGGAGAGCACACTAAAGAGCCCATACATATATGTTGGACATCACTTGAGTTCAAAATTTTAAATTATTAAATTTTAGATTCTTTATGTATACATAAAACATTTCATTGAGATTTTCTAATGATGTTGAATTTTTTACTTACACGTGAATCATATTGTAACATTAAAATTGTTCTTTTTTAGGAATATTGTGATATATATTTTATGTTTTTCTAAAAAACAATAGTAATCATCAATCAAAATAAAAATACTTTATATTTTTAATTGACACAATATTGTCTTATATCATTTATCGTTATTTCCCCAGTTTAATCAATAAAATTTTAAATTAAATGCATATAAAAACTGATAATTTCTCCTGGGTTGCACCAAAATCATTTATTTATGCAATATATTATCGATTTTCCACAAATGATATGATTTCTATAGGCATATATTTGATTTTCTTTTGCATCAAAATATATATAATATTATTTGAAGAAGAGAAAATTCAAATTTTATTCTTTGAACATTTTAATTATCATGCACCAACAATTTAACAAAATGTTCAAAATGCACATATACTTATATGATAAAATCTAAAATAGTGCATATATATTATATGGTTCTATTAAAGTGCATAATATTTGGAAATATAAATAAAATAGTGCATTCCACATGATGTCTTGAATGTGAAATTCAAAGCAACATCTTTCCAATCCTGCCTTCATAAAGGGCGACGATCCCCATTCTATTAGGCCTGTGCCCCTTAACACCTGACCCCCATTATAATTCTCTCCACTAAACTATTTATAAATATCTACCATTTAGAATTTAAAATTATAAGAATGAGTTTTTTTTTTCAACAATGGAATAGTTTAAAATCATTTTACCTCAATAGGGATTGTTTTAAATTTATTTCTCTAAATGAATTAACTTAAGCCACATCATTTCACATATTGTCATATGAATGTATTTTTTTATTGAATTAATATTTAATATATTAACGATATATTAATGCTATACATTATCAATCAATTATAAAATAATACTCAATCATAAGATTTTCAATTCTGTCAACCTCTGCCTTTGCGAGAGCGTCTGTATCCCATTAGCTTCTTTGCAAATCTTGTTAAACTTCACATTCAGAATCTTATTTTTATCAAATAATACTTTTTCATTATTTTTATCAAGTAAAGCTTAGTTGGTGGTATGTTATTTTGTAGCTATTTTTGTAGGACAAAACCGTGAGGCCATGGGAGGTCAGAGCGAACAATACCTCACAAGGATGTGAACCGTGGCAGAAAGGCTGATCTGAGACGTCGAAAGGGTGAATGCCCGGGTTCCGGAGCCGCGCGGGTTCGGAGCTTGAGTCTCGACCCGTGACAAGTGGTATCAGAGCCAGTCCTAAACCGTTCGATCCACGCCGAGCGCCTCGAGGGAGGTAGGCAAGGTGGCCGACCTCTGTGACGAGGGCGTCACGAGGTTGGGTGCGGGAGAATGTCACGGACCTAAGGGGGAGTCCTGAATCTCACATCGAACATAATAATCGAACATAATAGGAAGGTCCCTGGGGTATAAAAGGGTTCACACCATCTCCGCCTTGTAAGGCGCCTTTTGTAGGACAAAACCGTGAGGTCAAGGGGGTCAGAGCGGACAATACCTCACAAGGGTGTGAACCATGACGGAAGGCTGATCTGGGACGCCGGAAGGGTGAACGCCCAGGTTCCGAAACCGCGCGAGTTCGAAGCTTAAGTCTCGACCTGTGACATTTATACTAGCATATTACAATGTACGTCTACAAAATGTAAAAAAATGTTATCTTTTGATATCAAAATTATCATTATTCACATAATATCTTTTTATTTTTGGTAAAAAAAAAAATTGAAAGTAGGAGAGGTTTTTTTTTTTTTTTTTTTTTTTTTTTAAATCAAAACAGATTGGTACTCTAATTGAAATTAGTAAATCCATTAAATTTTCACTTGTTGATTTATCGAATTTACTGATCAAATTTACAAACCGTCGACCAACATTCATCTTTTATCATTTTTACCTATCCTAGTTGGCATACTATATTTTCTTTCCTATAAACTTCCTCTTCCCCGCCTTCGCCCAAAAGATTCCCTTACAAAATTCTATGAATAATTTTCCAATCAACATCGCAAAACCGCCCTTCTTTCCCCAACCCTTGACACCTCCATCGCTCCATCCTTCCTCCGTCCCCTGCGAAAAAACAAGCTTCTATCATCAATTGTTAGTGAAATGACGTAGGGTTCTTTTTTTTTTTGGGATGGAGAAAGCGACGTTGAATTGATGGAAAATCCTTTTATCGGAAATGAAATGAAATCATGCGAATTTGGGATTTTCTAATTTCTCCCCTTAGAGCCGGTGACACTATGGTCGGCCAGCAACCTTAGATGTTGACGTGTCGGCGTTAGGAGTCTAGACCACTGGCTTAGTCGGCGTCACCCTGCTATGTATAAGTGCGACCAAGTCAATATACCGCCAAAAATCAACTTTTTCAAGCCCCCCTCTACCTTGGCCTTTCCATTTCGAGAAATTACAATTATAATAAAGTTATTATATTTAATTATTTATATAATTTATTAAATAATTAATTAATAAATTAAAACATAATCAGGTAATTAAATTCAATTTTAATTATGACACTCTAGTTAGTATTTATGTAAAGAGATCGATGAAGAAAGCAGATAAAGAGACTTTAGACAAGAGTAAGATCAGTTTTAGCTTTTTAATTTTTTCTTTTAAAATTTTTATATTTTAAGATATAATTATATGGTTTAAATTAATTGTGATGCATGCTTGCCCTCTTCACCTATGAATAAGATTTGATCAAAATAAGTGACGTATATAACATTCCTTCACGAGCTTGACTTTGTTTTAAAATTTTAGCTTAAAGAAATATTGGGCTTAACAAAGTTAACCTCTATAAAAAATAGAACTCTAAGTTAACTTATAAACAAAAAATACACCCTTTATGTACATGATAAAGATATTTTAGGTGATTAAAACTAATGTATGTATATAAATTTCTTTCAACAACTTCTTATAATGGATTTAGGTTTGAATTTCAATTCCAAATAAAAAGTAATGATGAGATATTTTTTTTTGTAATAAAAAAATTAAAAGATAAATAAATTGTTTAATTCTTCAGATCAAAATAAAATATATCGTATCTAATAATCTGAGACAGATAATTGTAAATACGTACATTCAAAATAATTTTTAAAAATAATCACTAAACAGTACTTAAACTCAAAATCTTTTTGTTAAAGTCTAAATAGCTATGGACTTAGCTTGTGAATCTTGGCATTTTGTACTTAAAAGGAAAAAGAAAAACTCATTATCTTAATACTAAAACTATACATAAAACAAAACATTGAACAGTTAACGATCATGCAGCTTAGTGGTACGATGATTCCATATTCTGAAAAATTATCTAAGTTCAAAGCGTAATCTCTTCCCTTAATTAAGTTTTTGTAGATAATAGCGTCGGATTAATCAGTGTAAAATAGGAACTTCAAAAAAAAAAAAAACAAAATTGAACATGGCAAAGTACTAAGGTAATAAGGGTTGCATGGCATTTTCTTTGGGAAAAGCAAACGAGGGCAAATTTGGAAAAAAAAATCAAAGGCGTAAATTGAAAAGATCAACCAAGTTGTAGACAGAGCAACATGAAGATTGAGGAGATAGCACTATTGAGGATTGACTTGTGAGGCGATAGTTAGGTTTATTTCACATGCAAGTACACCAGATCTTTTTCCCTTTGTGGCCACTCGAGGTGATGGGGTGTCTTTCACGAGCATTGTCATTGGAACAGAAAAGCCTATATCTATGACCTTTTCAAACCCTACCTTTACGTCTTTAATGCTCCATACCAAGATTGGATCCCAATTTGATGTTGATGGCAACCTTTCTGATTTCCTGAAGAAAAGGTCTCAACCAGCTGATTCAATCAATGGTTTTGTTTTGAGCGTTGATATACACTTTCATTTTCTTTCACTCTCCATCTTTTTATCATGAGGCAAAATTTGAGTCGAATTTAATTCATCTTTCTTGGATTAGAAAGGAAACATTTACTACGATTCTATAACCATCACATTTCCGAACCAAATCATCAACTTCAGGCAGCCTTCTATTTCTTGCATTTGATTTAATTAGAAGTACTAAGACATGATTGGAAAGGGGAAGGGGAAGAGAAATGCATCATCTACCTCCATGTTTCTGTTGTTTTTTATGTCAATAATTCACTGTTTGCTTGGACAAATTTGAGCAAATGCATGAACGACAATTACTGATAATAATTCTTTCGAACAGGGTAAGTCATGTGCTAGATTCGTGGTAGTGAAACGGTGTTTTCCTGAAATTAGGTATGCAGATCTGTAGACTCTTTGACCTTTAACTCCTTGCATTTACCTTGACTTTTGCTTCTGACTATGTCAAGCTCGATAAACCTAGCTACCCATTTATATGGATGTTTCTCATGTATGCCTAACTTTTATGTTAAAAACCTTAAAAAAGGTTGAGGCTGTAATGGCATTTGGATTTTTCTGCAAAGAAAGTAAAGGATGGAGATGAACACAAAAGTTTAAAAAAAAAAGGTAAACGTATTAAATTATGTACTAAAAGAATTTCTTCTCTAAAGAGACGAAAAAAACAGCACCCAAAAAGAAAAATAATAAGAGAAAAAAATAAAAAAGGAGGAAATGCGTTTTTATAAGACGCGTGGCAGAGAAATAATGATTTTTAAGAAGACAAGTTGACTTTGCTACGTAAATAAATCGAAATAGTAGAATTCAATAAGTAATGAAAGTACGGACATGTGTGGGAAGTGGGGAACCACGCGGAAAGTCAAAACATGAAACTGGTAAAATCAAATGGATTCAGAGTCAATCCGAGGCAACATGTCTGGCAATAATGCTTGGTACGAAATCACTGCTTCATCCTTTCAACCTTTTTCGTGCTTAAGGTCCAAAGTTTGGATTTTGACGATTTAGATAGCATCTAAGAACGTGAGCGTTCGTAAAGCAGCATGTTATTTATAAATGATGGATTTTTATGTAACTTTTTAATGTAATTTTTCACTTATAAAATTGTAATAAAAAAATGAAAAATTACTTCTGTTCACAACGAGGAAAGTCATTTCTTTTCCCTTATCCAGTTAGAAAAAAATCTAAGAACACAATAAATACAAAATGGACGGGAGGGCCTACCAGTCATCGAAGCGTAAATCCAGTAAGTTGGACTGGGATTCAAACTTCCAAGGTAAAAAAATCCGTAAGAAGTCTGGCATGCAGCTATAAATACTACCAGACTAAGGTCTAAGCATAGTAATTCTGATCTCTTCCTTTGGAAACCCCAAACAAAAATCTGAATTCTTTTCTTCTATACCTCTCCTCCTAAAATCTGGGTTTTTCACTTGCTTTACCTCTCAAATTTAAAATTCAACTCAACAATTCTTCATCGTTCAAATATTCATTTCCTTTATCTCTGTTTCAAACCAAGAATCTTATCTTTTCCTTTTCTCTGTTTTCATCATTATTTCACTTTCTTTTGCCTTTTTTTAATTTTGTTCTAATAGGAAAAGGGACAGTTTTTAGCACTCTGTTTCCTCTGTTTTGATTCAGAACAACAAACGAATCAAGGAAAAAATGCAAGAAATCAATCATCCTTTTGGATTCAACAATGCTGCCGATATTGGGTCTTCGCTATCACAGCTTATATTATTAGGAGGCTCAAATACCTTAGATGCAGTCTTCTCTCAGCGCGCACGATCAACGACAACAATATCAACAGACATTACTACCAACTCTGTTTATGAGCCATTAGGCTCTTCAGTCTATCTCCGCCAAAGAGATCTACTTCAAAAGTTCTGCGAAGAGAACAAAGGAAACGCTTCATTTTCACGCTACTCTCTAACGAATCAGCTTCAAAACTGCCAAAACCTTGCATCAAAGAGCAACTACTTGAGTCCTCAAAAGAAGAAGCTCTACAGGGGCGTGAGGCAGAGACACTGGGGCAAATGGGTAGCCGAAATCAGACTTCCACAAAACAGGACGCGAGTCTGGTTAGGCACTTATGAAACAGCTGAAGTTGCAGCTTATGCCTATGATCGTGCCGCGTATAAGCTTAGAGGAGAATATGCAAGGTTGAATTTTCCAAATATGAAGGATCCCAGTACGTTGGGGTTTGGAGATTGTGCTAGGTTGAATGCTCTGAAGAATACAGTGGACGCTAAGATTCAAGCCATTTGTCAAAAGGTGAAAACAGAGAGAGCTAAAAAGAATGCCAAGAAAGGAAACTCTGATCGTCCTGCTGCTTCTCCTGAACCTGAAAAAGAAGTGAAGGTAACCCAATCATGTTCATCGTCTTCATCGTTATCGCCTGCGGTTTTTGGTGACAATATAAGCAACAAGTTGCTGCCATCAACTGTGTCCGAAGATGGTTATTGGAGATGTGAGAATTCACTGTCCTCTGTTTCCAATGATCATCCAATGATGTTGGCAGTGGAACCACAATTTGAGGACTGTTTGCTCGCGAAAATGCCATCTTTTGATTATGAATTGATATGGGAGATTCTTGCAAATTAGGATCACAACATTCTCATTCATTTTTCTCTAAATGAAAAATTGCAGCATACAGCTGTTAAAAAATCGAGAGAGATTTCTCCTCTCTTTTTGGTTTGTAGTGTCAATGGTAGTTTTATTGGGGGATCTTGTATCAATGATGTCGTTTTATTTGATGTTGTTTTGTTAGATTGGCTTTTTGATTTTGTACGAAAGGATTATTTAAGCGTTAAGAATGTTTTTTTTTTTCTGATAGTTGAAATTCTACTTACACTAGACAAAGTCACAAAGGCGTTATAATTGAATTGAAATTAGGCATTTAGAATCAAGTTTAAACTTATATAATTATTTTTTTTAAAAAATAACATTTAATCAATTGGGATTTAAATTTTAATATATTTAATTTTATTATTTTTAAGCTGCTATCTTTTATAAAAATATTTTAAAAAATTAATTTCCTTATTTCTTAACATGTCTGTCTCCACAAGCAGAGCAGATATCTAAATTTACTGCTAGTATTTCATTATCATGACAGGGTTTTAGATCAACCAGCTGACTTTGAGCGAACGTCGAACAAAATTTATAGGGGAAATCAAGTAAAAGCCTCGATTTGGTTCGGCCCCAACCTAATGGAAAATAAAGAGTTGGAAGAGAAGGGCAAAAGCAATACATGTGCTTTACAAATTGCAAATACTACAGTAATAATAAAAAAAAAAACACAAACACGTACGCACAAGTTAAAAAGATTTCATATCACTCCTTATCGCTGGAACAGCCATGTCTCGTTAGAAGCAAACTTTCTTGATATATGACTTCTGACAACGATTAAGAGTATCATTGGACGATGTTTGGAATATCAGAGAAACCAGAAGCTAACATAAAGCAGACAAGGAAGACAATACAAATTCATGAAGGGATTGAAATAAATTTATATTTACAAGGGTAGTTAAGTTGCAGTCATAGGTGGGATCATTGTAAAAATATAACTTCATATCGAGGACAAGACAACAGAAAATATCAAAACATTAGTCATCAACAACATATATGGTACATCACAATCAAAGACGACCAGATCCTTGGATGATATCATTTAGGAAACACTACCAACAGAGGGTGTTCTTGGATTGCTGCAGCTTTGCATTGCAACAACTTTCTATCTCCTCCTTGCAGGATTTTAGCAGAGGCTGTAAAAACGATGATCAGAAACATGGTTCTATCATCAGCTATGGGTTCGAATCTAAGAGAAATTCTAGAGAATGTTTGCTACCCTGAAATTTTCTTGTCTTTCCTGACCGATAAGGAAAAAAAAAAAATTGGGTCAAAAGAAAATGCCATTTTGGAGTTTTATCAACAATTTTCTTGTGTAGGCGGGGATCCGGTATTTTCTGAATCCTTGTGTAAGGAATTACAAAAGAAATTCTTTCAGCAAAGATGTGAATTAGGAAGGATTGGTCGACGAAATATGAACCAAGTGAGGTTCTATCCCATTCTGCTATCAACCAAAGGCAATAATATCAGAAATACAGATATACCAATTTCAGGTGGCATTATAGCTTAATAGGCCATGTTTAAGTCATGTGCAAGAAATGTGACATACAGTAGCACATCCTAACAAGTATGTTGACCAATCACATAAGTTTGTGACCCTATTTATCCTTCAATTCTTTCCTTACAAGATCAAACCTGAATGAAAGATGATTTTTGTATGTCAAAGATATCAGAGAAGGAAATTGAAAATTGGAACATGTTTTTGCAAGTGCAATTTCTTTCTTGAGAAAGTCGGTGACTTCCCCTTTCCTTGTCTTTTTCAATTTTTTCCCTCAAGATCCAAACTGCAATCTTCTAGTTTTTGCAAATGGCTAACTAAAAGTCAAGGACAATGGACCTAACCATCATAAGAATAAATAATATTGCATAAAATAAACATACCACTCTCAGAATCTTGTCTTATTCCTCGTTTAGTTCTTCCAAAAGCTGCCACGTAAATAGAATCAAAAGAATTTATAGGCAGACCTCTCTACGAAGGGCCAACAGCTCATGCAACACAGTGTACACATGAAAAAGAACTACATAGCTAGAATTCATAATTTAGGTTGAAATACAATATAATTCTTTTTCTTGGTTGAAGTTCTCACAAACTATTAAAATTGAAATTGGACATTTTGAAAAGCAAAATCTCAGACTGTCATACATAAATAAGAAAATTGAAAGTTGAGAGCATGCATACTGGGATAGGGTTGGCACTGTAGTTGGATCAAATTCATCACAATTGTTTGGGTCAATCGGAACACAAACACGACCTAGAGGAAAACAAGAAAGTTAAAAAACACTTGAGACCACTAAAATTCATGCAAGGGGTGATCGAATGAAGTTTCATCTCTCCTACATTTCTAGAGAATCAGAACAGGAGGATAGTCCCTATCATGAGGTATTTAGCTGTATGTACAGATCCAAATAGCAATTAAGTGAAGGAAAGAAATCCAATAACAGCACATATTCAAGGCTTCATAGCATAAACACAGCTACTGATAATACTTCTGGTTTTGGAAGCATTCCATGGTAGTGCTTTAGCTTTTAGGTTTAAATGTCTTGGTTCTTAAAACAGAATTTACATCACAACTTTAGGAGCCAAACCTATGATTTCTGGTCAATCTTCACATTGATAAAAACTGATGTCTAAACAGATTTTCCAAAACTAGTTTTTGGACTTACACAGAATGGTGCCTTCAATAAATGGTTAATGTGCTTTGAAACCTCATATATATACAAGTAGACGCATGTGACGGGTTATGCATAGATATTTTTATACATAAAAACTTCTTGCTATCATGAAAGTAATTTATATATAGTGGTGTATGAAATGGAGGTGAATGTACTTCTAAAATCATTATCTATATTAGTTTAAAGAGAAAAGAATAAATGAACTCAAAAACAAAATAAAACAAAACCAAAAGGAGTAATAGTGTGTATCAAGCCTAGGGTAAGTAAAGGAAAAGAAGATCTCTTCAACACATCTCCTTAGTCCTTGTGTCTGGAAAAGGTGAATCATGCAAAATAATTAAAAAAATGAAAAATAAAGTAAAATGTACATGAGAAAAATTCTCCTATAAGTAAAACAGAGGCCACCTGTGTCAAACATACATTTGATGAATGTGTCTCTAACAACTTAGAAGTCCAAGAAAGCAATCAAATAGTAATTGAATTTTGAGAGCAAGGATTAATAACTTGGTCCAGCTCATTATTTATTGCTGATTTTCTTGGAAATGCACTTTGATTGTGCAGGATAAAATGAAAATGTTGACGGCTGGATAATCCAGTTGCTAACACATGTAAAACTGATTGTAAGTAGGGCCAGCAGTGGTGGACTCACCCCTTTTATTGTAAACACTTTAACATATCATGGAACTCTCACTCTATGATCTGTTTTATGGAGCTTTATTATCCGAGTCTCAAAATTCTATTAGCTGTTTGATGGCCGTACTCAATTTATGATGGCAATTATATCTTTTGCACATAGCAAACAGATTCCAACTCAATATATTTTAGCGTCACTATTAGAGTAATTAATCTAAAACAAATTCAAATCATATGACCAAAAAAGTGCATTGAGTGTTCAAACATTTGAGTATCTCTATTAGACTAATTAATCTACAAACAAATTCAAACCATACAACTCAAAAAGTGCATTAAGTATTCAATTTCTATGGCACCTATTCAAACAGAGTGGCCTATGTGGTTCATGTCAGACACACTAAACAGAGGTTTCCACTGCCCATGATGTATTTAACCCCTAAAGTGTGAGCATTCCAATTCATACCTTTCGTTTACCCGATGGCTGTATATATTTTAGTTGCTCCCATCTAACAACATTAATTTCATCTTGACATGGAAGATCACTTATTCTCCTGCCACCTCCCCGAAAGCTCAGAAGCAACAGCTGCAAAGATAGCACGTCCATACTCCATACATGAGCATCTGCTAAGGTAAATGACAGAGCTATCCACTGAAGAGACTATAAATTTTACTTGCATCAGGAATCATTTCTAGGATCTTCTCATATCTCTCCTCAGATGAAGGTAAATTTTGGTTTGAAAGTAGTTTAGCCTCAAAAAAACCCTTCAGAACTTCAGTATAGGATCTTGTGCAAAGTCAGAATATGTCTTAAGTGGATGAAACAGTAGGTCCAGAATAAGGAAATTAAAAATGATATACAGTATCACTTAAGCCAGGAAAGAATGAAGAACAGGACGTGGTAAAGATATCTTTTTGTTACTATTTTCATTTCCCTGAACAAAGTAAAAAGTCATTGGCCAAACAAAAACAAAGGACAAAGTCAACGGTTTCTTGGTATTAAAAAACTAGCAAAACCCAGCTGTATTTCAGAGCACTAGTTAAACACCTTGTATCCAAGGAAATAATCAACAATGGCTTCCCTCTGTTCATTAGTCAACCTGCAGAAGTGATGACAGTAACGTTAAAATCCTCATGTAACAATGCAGGTAAGGAAATAATAGACATTATGTGATCATTTTAACTGTTTACTGCATTAACTTCTGGCCTTTCTATCACAAACCAGCAGTGCACACCACATCAACCACTATATACCCATAAAATGTGATTAAAGGCAAAGTCATGAGCATTATTAGATGTTAATTGATAATGTAAGAAGACATATACATGTCATGTGAGCTCAAGAAAACAAAAAGTGCCTACATTGTAATGCAAGCATGTTAAGTAGGACAGCTAAGGACTCAAAGTTCCAATTACAATAGTCTGGGATCTAGGCAGCTAAGGACTCAAAGCATGATTAACAAACTAATATAAAGTATTTTACCTCGGAGAGCAGTATCAATCACTTTAATTGCAACTGTCATTAAAGGCCAGCATTCCAAGCAAACATCAGCTCCTGTGCAGCAATATCTAACATAGTCATAATCTGTTATATCCTGGGACAAGAAAATACATAACTCCAACAAGGGAAACAACATGGCCGATACAGACTGTGTACTCAGTTTGCAAAGTAGACTAAGATGCTTAGTTTTCTAGAAGTCCAGTATCTTACAATATCAAAAACCAGTTTCCTCTCAACTGGAGTGAAAACATTGTCTCCAATTTGTGCATACAAATGCCTCTTAGCAGGCTATATTGCAGACAATACATCAATAACTAACGAAATAGAAAACATTTATATTTCAACAGAAAGTCAGGATAAATATCAGCAGTTTTAACTCATAGCTCAAAAAATTGATCCAAAGCCTGCATAATAAGAAGAAAATGGTACGAAATCTTACATCAACACTGTAGACGGGCCCAATATCTATCTTGAACGGACACTTTTCTTATATGGAAATTTTCAGTTCAGAATCACTGTTGAAAGACTGGAATCAAATATAAATGTCATTTTCTAGCGTGAAAGAAAAGTCCCTTCTTCCAAAGTAAGACTTGTCAGTTGTCACAAGCAGGATGCTTGCCATCTGCAGATAAAGCAAACACATATACATAGATACATAAAAAAACACGAAAGCATAGAAACAAACGCGCTTGCATATGCAAGAAAAGAAAGAAGAGATTTGGATTACCCTTTCCATAAGACATCCACTTAAAAGATATCATCATGAGAAAATAACTTTCCTGCGAGAAAATTAGTTTTAAATTCAAATCATAACCGCTAGAATAAAAGAAAAACTCCATCATTCAAGCAATATATTTCCTTTAAAAAACTATCAAAGAGAAAAATGAGAATTCTTACGATACTAGATTCTGAGATAGTTAAAGTTGAATCCATCAGGGACGGCGTTTGCTTGCTCAGGTCCATCAATTACCATGCCATCTCTTCCGTTTTCAGCTTCCTCTTTTGTCATCTTTGCTTCAAAATCTTTCAACTTGAACCCTAACTTTTCGCTGAATAGCAGAGAGTAGGATGGCGGGAAAGAAAAGAGGATTAGGGCAAACGTGTAGATCATTTGGGGGAAAATTTGGGCCTAAAGATTTGGCTATTAAACAAATTCAGCCCAAGCACAAATCTTGAGTACGCAACCGTTTTAACATTCAGTACGTCCGTCCAAAGTCCTTAGACCTATCAAAACTCAGCCTGGGCAGCAAAACCAAAATTCCTGTCGCTACTCGCTCATCACCATGGAAAGTACGAATAAACAATAGTACCCAAATTTCTTCATTTATTAAAAAAAAAAAAAAACACGCCGATTCTTTTTCTTTTTCCCGATTACTAATTTAATAATTAATAATTACAGGCAATGAGATAGAAAGAAGCACTCTGGACCTTTCGCTACTGGACCTGGCATATGGCGTTGCGTTTCGGACCTTTCTAGGGCTTCCCTATAACAGTCGTCGAACCCGCTAATCCCCCCCCCCCCGGTTGGCTTTTTCACCGGTTTTTCATTCTCTTCCCCTATTTTCTTAAGGTTACCTCGATGCGTCATATGATTATATCAATGAATAATTTAGTCAAGATAGAAAGGACTTATTTAGAGATACCAAAAACGACGTTAAGAAAATCAGCAGCTCTTCGTTGTTAAACAATAAAGTTCCAGAACATCTCGTATTTTTTTTTTTTTTAAAATTTTATAATTTCAATAGTATTTACTTTTTTAATATAATCGATTGTGTTTGTATCGGTGTTAGATTCGTACATATGTCTAGGAGTCTTTTTTTGTTTAATTCTGTAAATTTTCTCTTTAGACGCCTATTATAAGTAGCTTAGCTTGATTTCCCGGTGACTTTCTATTATTGGAAATTTTATTATCCTTTCCTTTATTGTTTTCATTGCATGTGTTATGAATATATGAGGAGATCGAAATTAAAGTAGGGATTGATTAGAGTTGTGAAGTTATAACTGAAACTTTAAGCTAGATTATTGGCTCGTTTGAAATGTAATCTGATTTTAAACATTTTGTGAATCAATAGAAGTTATTGGCAATCTACGTCGGGCCATTCAAACACGACCTTCAGCTTTTTGTAGCGTGTGATTTTAAGAGGTGCAATGTAAAAGATTTACAACTTTTGATTGAGGATTGATTAGTAGAAGTTACCTGTAAAATTGTTGTTTTCTTGTGTAATTACTAAGTATTTGCTTTGTTTAAATAGAAATGGAACAGAAGATTTTCTTTAAACTTTCATTTCACTCGAGTGTGGAAAGGATAGCTAGGGGTTCTTATGTCTCATCTTCAAATACCGATAAACTTCCCATTGAATGAGTTTAATTTGATGTCACATACTACTACTGGAACGTCGTGTAGTTACAAAAAAAATTATTTTCAGATTAAGCTTCAGGTTTTGTTTGCTTTGATTGAAGGCAAACTTGGCAGTGTTTTCTGCCTTAATGAATGATTATTGGTTTTTGGTCAATCAGGTTTGGTCTTTGGTGAGGAGATTTGATCAACCGCAGAAGTACAAACCATTTGTTAGCAGGTGTGTTGTGCAGGGTGACCTTCAGATTGGAAGCGTTAGAGAAGTTAATGTTAAGTCAGGTCTGCCAGCCACAACTAGCACTGAAAGGTTAGAGTATCTAGACGATGATGAGCATATTTTGAGCATGACGATTGTTGGAGGAGATCACAGGTTGAAGGTATGAATTTTCTGCTTGGTTTAATTAGTTACACATCACACATGTAACTTTAAATGCATGCCCATTGAATTCGAGTAAATTTTTAGTGTTTAACGTATAATCTTGACTGAAATATAAGGATTCATCTCAAAGTAACTTTTTTTGTTCTCTTATCATATGATATTTTTCTGTTAGATTATGTAATGCATAAATTACCTGGAAAAGTAATAAGGTTTTGGATATGGTCACTTGCAACTTCCAAGGTGGAGGACTGAATGTGCTAACTTTTGTTGCCAGTCATTAGGATAAGACTCTGTGGATTGAGCATGAATTGTCAAAATCATTGTTTAAATGGTCAAATCTATTAAGTCTTTTAGAAGATTTTTTCATGTTTGAGATGGAACGTAGCTTTACAAAACTGGAAATAGGAGTTATGAAACTAGAAGGATATATATATATCCTACAAATTGACTTGTGAAATCTGTCTGCTGAATTTGGCCATTGGCATGAATGTTCTTTATGACTGCACGCTGTCTAGGGCAATTTATATGCCTTATGTCAATGTGGCCTCTTCCTCTATCCAATTATTTATTTTTGTTGTGCTACTGGCACATTTGTTAGCGGATTTCCCTTTTTTCCTTTTTTTCTTTTTTTTGCATGTAATGGATATGTTATAATAGAATATTTTTAGTTGATACGCATAAGTGGGCCAGTAATGTTGTTTATCATGTTGTTGAAGATGTGATGGTTTTCAGTTCTGAGACATATTATCCCGCCTCCTTTTGTTTTAATATTTGAATTTATGTGAATGCTATTGCACTAGTTCTGCATTGACCCCCCTTATCGGGTTGAATTTTTATTTTTATAATATGTCCTGTACTTTTATGGATCTAATTTGCTGAAACTGCAAAATTGTCGATATGTTATGCAAATTGGCAGAACTACTCGTCCATTGTTACAGTCCATCCTGAGGTCACTGATGGCAGACCAGGAACATTGGTGATTGAATCATTTGTGGTGGATGTACCAGATGGGAACACCAAGGATGAAACATGCTACTTTGTTGAGGCACTGATCAAGTGCAACCTCAAGTCATTGGCTGATGTTTCAGAACGTTTGGCTGTTCAGGATCGGACCAAGCCAATTGAAAGAATGTGAATAATCTGGGTCCCTGTTATCAGCATTAAAGTTCTTGTTTTGGGTGATAAGTGGGATACTCTTGTTATTGGAAGATGAGTATACAGTTTAGGCTTCCTGCAGGCAGAGTCAACTTCTCTTTCCTTATACTTTATGCTTCTTCTTTTTACTAGAACATGATATTTAGGTGTCTTGTGTTGATAGTAGCTGACAATTAATCTCATCTGCGGCATACAGATTTCCCATATGAAGAAACAAATAAAAAATTTCTCTGTGGTTTTTTCTATGTTGAACATGGGGTGTTGTATTGGTATTTGGTTGTAAATATCTGTGCACGATAGAAATTTTATGTTCATATCTTTAGTTTTGCATGTTCCAGTTGCAGAAAAGCCATTCACTGTTTGGTGGATATATGGTATTGGTATGTTATGTTGTTTCATGATGTGAATTTACTCATCTAGGAAGGTATTTGTACTAATTGGAAGAGTGGTCAGCGCTTCCCAATTGCCAAAACTCCAGATTTGGATCCTCCTCTGTCTAATTGGTAAGAGGTTTTAGCAAGCACGAGAGGATCCAAATCGTTTTGTTTTAGTTTTTTTTTTAATGAAATGAAACTACAGCTAAGGAAAAAACCCCATGATGAGTTTTTCTTGATGTAGGATTTCAAGCTTTTTGGAGTGTCGCATTCAGTTCTAGAGGCAGGTTCTGCCCAATGTTGCGGTTGCCCATTAAATGCAAGGAACGCTCCTGTTATCCAATAAATGATGTATGGCCTGTATTTCATGAGAATTAAACCAGCCTCTCCGATTACTCTGTTCCTGTAAAAAAAAAAAACGAGAAAATTTGCAGCAACTGTTAGATTTTTTTGGTGTTCAAATCTTTTTTTTTCCAGGTCAGATTTATTCTAATTAGGTGGTGCTAAAGAATGATCCAATTTTCATGATTCAAGAAAGAGGGTGCGTCAAAGTATTCAATTCAATAATTAATGCATGCTATATTTTTTTGGGTTGGTTACGAGAAAAAAAGGAGGCCACGTAAACACCAGCACCATTATATCCCTAGAAAGGAGGTGTGATTTCAATAATTTAGAAGGCGAAAATAGCAGTGTACCGTTTGGACTATCATCAAAAGGCAAAAAAGAAAAGACAAGCTATGAGAACAATGTCGAACCACATATAATAAACCATTTTAGAGGCAGTGGAGAATCTGATGAGAAAAGAACTTCAACTCCTCCATAGATAAAGGATAATCTCCAAAATCTGTTGGCTTTTATTATTTGAGGTGCCCATTTCTTATCTTAGCTTTAGCCTTTATGTAAAGCTGTGATTGAGAGCCAGAGGGCCAAGGATTCCATAAATCAAAATTAAAGTAACAACAATAGGATAAGTGATGTGGCATTCCGAAAGTTAACGCTGCTGCCTTATTTCATTATCCACTAGTGAGCGAACCTGATTTCGTTTGGCGTATTAAATTAATTTTTAATATTTTATTTATTAAAAATAATTTATTTTAAATTTAGTAAAGAAATTTAATATAAAATTAAATATAAAATATTTTTTTGTTATAATAAAAATAAAAGTAGTCAATTTCAGAGAAAATATACAACTGAATAATTTATTCATAGTTAGGATATATAATTATTCGAAAAGTATGATATGTTATTATAGCAAATAAGTAATAGTTGCTGATCTTCAAGTGATTATGAATGATGAATTTTTTTTCATCCTTTTGAGAATGATTTGTTTCTGCTATTGTATTAAATGGTCCAAGATTTATCTTCTTGAAAAACTAACAAAGTGATAGAAGAATTTCTATTTGATAGATGTTTTGTGGAAACTCCTGGGAATATGTCGTAGAAATAATGTAATGAGAAATTTTTAATAGGTGTTTTGAATGTATGTTTTGTTATGTAATATTGTTGTAGTATGTGCATGATTGTTTACCAAGATGGGACGACCATTGATGTTTGCATTGGTCATCAAGCAATGAAAAGTAAGATTGTTAGTCATCATCTTCATATTCTGCATGGTTAAATTGAGTGTTGTAACTTGAAATATAAACTATAGTAATTGTAATTTATATAAATTGAAATGGAACATAACATTGGTGAAATGAAGCTTTTACTTTATTTTTGTTACAGGGCACTTGTTGGTATAGTATTGGGTGATTGAGGATACAGGTAAAAGATAGGATATTCTAATATGCGAATTGATGTGCAGTAACAAATTCATGCCATCCATTTTGAAGGTATATTTTGCAATTGATTTTTGTCAATTCCATCTTGAATGTATTTGGGAGAGAACCCTTTATGTGGATGGTTCTTGGGCTTTCTAGTGTTGATATGGGTTGTTGAGTAAAGTTTTTTAAAAATTCCTGTAATTATATATGATTTTGATAGAGTAATGAAAAATTATAATTGATTATAAATAAAATAGATAAAGTAATGAGAAAATAGCTAAGAAATAAATGTATGAATAAAATAAAAGTTTAATGCACATGGTGTTAATACTATAATCAAACATTTAAAGTTGTAAAGGGTTCTTTAATTAATTTTCTTTAATTAGGTGATATATAGTTAATAACTAAGTGCAGATTTTTAACAGTGTATTTATAAATAGAAGAAATTGTATGATAAATTTGAGTTTAGTTTGAGCATAAGCTGGATGCTAATTTCAGCATAATGTGGATCATGCTAAATATTATTATAACAGTGTGTTACTTTTAAAGAAGAGAAGACAAAAAGGAATGGTGAAACAATATTTAATTTCAAGCTCTGTGCATGTTTCCTTAAAATCATATTTGCAATGACAAAAAATGCATAAATTACATATATCATGACAAATGTAATGGCATGTCAAACACTTATCTTACCAATTATCAATATCATTGTAAGTGACATTAATATAAAGTGAAAGAAACAGATATCCCTAAGAAAGCATGTTTTATCAATTTGGATTTCTTTCTTTATTACAGAAAAAGAGACAGTCTCTACAATAACAGATGTGAGAAAAATGGCATGTGTATGTGTAGTTTGATCATAAGCTGGATCTTAATATCAGTATAATGTGGATCTTATTTTAATGATTATAATTATGGTCAAGGATTTGTTGTTGTGGTTGTATATTTTTTAGGTTTGTTTGTTTTCTTCTGTAGATTTTAAGATATGAGCACTTCGTTATGGTTCTAAATTAGTTTGTTTTAAACTAAAATAGATTTTGATTCTATCATAAGTTGTATCCTAGTTTGAATATAGTTTGAAAACCTAAATCAAATGTAAATAAGGAACATAAAAGAATGAATTATTTATGATTTAAAGAAATAATGTAGTATTGAAAAAGATTTTATCGTTATGTCTTGAATGGTGTCCTCATGGGTTAAAAACTTTAGGAATTATGGTGGTTACTGCAAGTTCACAGTGTTTTGTGTCAAAGAGGAAGTTTGTGCTACCATAGTATTTTGATAAAAGATCAGTTGTGATAGGAAAATTTAGAACGATTGTTGATGTTTGTGAGGTTTTTATGAGTTAGTATATAGGCTTTTGTGGTTAAGAAAATTTTGGAAATTATGTTAGTTGTTAGATGGTCCATGGTTTGATATTGTTAAGGGTTTGTGTATATGGGTTGTGGTTGTGTAATAGATAGTTTGAAATTTTGATATAAAAATTGTAATATTTAAAATCTTTTTAAAAAATGTCACATAATAATTTATAATGTGTTGTATTTAATTATTATGTATATGTTGTTTTAGAAAAATGTCTTATTTTTTTATGGATATTTTATGTCATTTAAGAATTTTTTTAAAAGAAATATTATCTTTTATATAAAGAGTGGTTATTTTGGTAAGGTTTTAAAAGATTTTATTCTGTAAGTGGTTAAAATATAATTTTAAGAGAAGTGAAAATTTTTTTTATTATTATAGAGTGATAATTTTTTTGATAAAAAAAGTTATAATTATAGTATGAGTATGTGTTAATGAAACAAATAATTAAAAAGAATGACCTAATAAAATTTTAATTTGAATAAAGAGTAAAGGAAGAAAAAGAAGAGGATGTGGTATTTCTTTCTTATTAGTAGATGTAATTGTATGGACAATAACAAATTCATATATCTCTAATACATAAAGGAAAACAATCATTACAATAATAAACGTAACAAAAATGGCACCACTCAACATACTATTAAGATCCACTGTAAGGGTATATGTAGTTTGACCTTAAGCTGGATCCTAATTTCAGTATATCATGGATCCTATTTTAGTGACTATTATAAAAAAGTAGTATTTCATTTTTACATATAGTTTTTAAAATCCTCTTCACTATTTGTAAAAGATGTTCTTTGCAATTGTTATATGTTAACAAAAATAAGATGTTTTGTGTAGTGAACTAAGCCTTATAAGTTTTGTCAACAAAAATAGAACATTAAATCGATACTAACATGAGTTATTGATCAACCGATGCGGTAAATAAAAACACGAAACTTGTTCACTTGAGTCTTTTAAAATATGCATTGATCTCCGAGATTTAGACCATTATCAATTACGAAGTGATGCCACCTACCTAAGAAGCTTTTGTTTTTTTGGGTGTAAATGTATTTAACAATCCAATCTATTTGTTGTTGATTGATGATGCCTTCAATATTTTGTGTAGATATTTTTGCTTCTTTTTTTGGAATTGAAAATGTTAATTTCATTAGATGATGGGCTAGAAACTGTTTAACAAATGGTGCAAGAATATGCTATATGAACAATAAAAATAGTTTTGATTAGAAGTATAATAAAAATTGTTCAATTAGAAATTTGACATTGAGATAAACAATCAAAAAATAATAAAATAGATAAGAAATATGTATCATAGATCATTGGTAGTTTAAATATTACTTTTATGATAAAGTTATTGTGATTAGATTATTATATTAATTAGAAGTTATTTCAAGTAATGAAACTTGATTTTTGGAACTTACTCGTATTCAAGGAGTAAATGAAATGTTGTTATGATAAAACAGATTTTGATAATAAAAGTTTATAATCTCATTATAAAATGTCAGGATTCAATAGTCAAATTCTTATCATGAAGCATAGATAATTCATACTTAGATAGAAACATATTTAATCAGTTTAGAGGTCGTATGTGTTAGCATATGTAATTCATACTTGGATAGAAACATATCATGTCTAACAATATAGCCAACAACAGAGAGAATATTCATGTGTATTGGGACAAACACGTATAGTAAACAATTGAAAGAATATTTTATGTAAAGTGAAGTAAATCAAAACATATTAAAGTAGATACTGAAAAAACTGAAACAACCATAAAAAAAAATAAAATAAAAAAATGGATTTAATAGATTGTAAATTGAAGAAGAAATTAAGAATGTATATAATATGAAAAAATAATAGATAAAGAGCAAAATAATTTATAATTAAATTGTTATAAGAGATTTTGTTTACCAAAATGTAAGATATTCAGACGTTGGTTTCACTTATTGTGTATTGAAAAAGCGACAGATCATTGTCTGAATCAAAATCTAAACTTGAATTTTCAATTTTGATGATTTCAAGACGTTATTGTTGTTAATTCTATTGTTTTTACCTATAGGAATAAATATTGTGTATTTAATTTCTTAGTTAAGATATATTTTATATACATAAATAAAATGTTACCTTTCTTGATTTAGACATCATCAATTGTCATCAAAGTAGCACTTCTTTTATAAAAGTAGACATAGAAAATAAGATCATGGTTTATCTTAAACATGAGAAAATTTCTAAATTCAGCATTGTTAGCATTAAAAAATTATCGCCATCCATTACGAAAGTAGATAATGTTGTTGATTTGAACCATTATCACTTTAAATGTAGTTGGAATAAAACCTCTAAGATAGGTTGTTTTGGGTATTTGAAAATCTTTTATGTAACGGTTGACGAATTTTTTTGGCAAACATTGAAAGTTTAAATTCAATTGATCATATCAGTAAAAAAATCTGGTTAAACAGAATATATAAAAATCTTATAATTTGAGTTAATAAAGCTTAAGGGTAATATAACTTTAATATGAATAGTCAATAGTAAAAAATTGATTTGAAAAAAATTACTACCAATTTCAATGTTAAAGTTGATTAATCCAGTTGTGGTTTAATAACATAAAATAAAAAATATTAGAATTGTTAAGTTGTAATGAGATAAAATTTTTTGTTTGATTTGGGTGCAA